TTTACCACACATTTTAAAAACCCAAAGTACATTTACACCAGTTTTTAATAATTCAATTCTTAATGATTCTAAAAATCCTTGCATGGCAAATTTTGAAGAAGAGTAACCTGTTCTACAAGGTAAACCTTTGTAACCTGCTATTGATGAGATACCCAAAATGCTTCCTTTCGTTTTTAAAATGTGTGGTAAAGCATATTTAGTACAATATACTGTACCCCAATAATTAATATCCATCGATTGGCGTAAAACATTCAAATCTACATCTTGAAACAAGGCTCTCATGCTAATTCCTGCATTATTGATTAATATATCAATTGTTTGAAAAGCATTTAATGATTTATTGATAAAATTTTTGCAATCTTCTTCTTTACTCACATCAGCTTGTATGGTTATTAAATGTTTATCATTAATTTCTGTAGACATTAATAATAAATTATCAGCGTTTCTACCACAAACAGCCACTTTAGCACCATAAGATAGTAGCTGAATAGCCAATGCTTTTCCTATGCCAGATGTAGCTCCAGTAATCAATATTACTTTGTTTTTAAAATAATTATTCATAAAATACAAAAATACTTTACTATTTTGGTTTGTAAGTTAAAAAAATTAATATACATTTGCACTCCAATCGAAAGAAAGGACGTTGATCTTGTAGCTCAGCTGGTAGAGCACATCACTTTTAATGATGGGGTCTTGGGTTCGAATCCCAACGGGATCACAAAGGGTTTGTTTTAAAAACAAACCCTTTTTTTATTTATATAAAATGAATAAATACGAAAGAAAAAATTGAATGGGTATTATTTTCTCAATAACTCTTATCCTCAATGCTTTCATAAATTTTTGCATAGCTCACATATCGTTCTTCTGAAATTGAACCATTTTTGACAGCTTCCTTAACTGCACATCCTGGCTCGTTAAAATGCAAACAATTGTTGTATTTACAATTAACTAATTCTTTTTTTATTTCAGGAAAATAGCCCGACAATTCTGCTTTAGAGATAGATACAACACCCAATTCTCTGATACCAGGTGTGTCTATCAATTGACCACCATCATTTAAATCGTGCATTTCTGCAAAGGTAGTAGTATGCATTCCTTTTCCACTCCATTCTGATACTTCTTGAGTAAAAATATCTTTATCAGGAATTATTTTATTAACCAATGTAGATTTTCCAACACCACTATGACCAGTTACTAAACTTACTTTATCTTTTAATAAAGCATTGAAGGATTCCATACCTTTATCTTTCTCTACTGAAATTAATAGTACTTCATAACCAATATCAGTATAGATTTTTTTTACGTATTCGTAATATTCCAAATCTTCTTCTTCTAATAAATCAGATTTATTGAAAATAATAACAGCAGGAATTCGATAGGCTTCACACGTTACTAAAAAACGATCTATAAAACCTAATGATGTTTTTGGATCTTTAAGTGTAGCAATAATTAGGCTCTGGTCTAAATTAGAAGCAACAATATGTATTAAATGTTTACTGTGTGGTGATGAACGAACTAAATAATTTTTTCGTTTATCGATGCCAACAATCATACCTGTTTTTTCTTCAATATCTTCTAATTGAATGGTTACAATATCACCTACTGCAATTGGATTGGTAGAAGAAATAGTTTTGTCTAATTTGAATTTTCCTTTGATTCTACAATTATAAAAAAGTCCGTCTGAAGCTTTGACAATATACCAACTTCCTGTAGATTTATAAATAGTAGCTTTCAACCGAAAATTATTTCAACTTAATATTATACGATTTTGTATTGAAAATAACGGTTACGTCATTATCACAATCTCCTTCACCATAGTTAATGGTTCTTAAAGCATGTCCTTGTGGTTGCAAATCTACTTCGCCTTTATTGATATGTTTACACAATACACGATTGTATAATAATGGTTTTGTGATATTGAAAGCACTGTAAATTTTATATTCATTTAAGGTGTTTCCTGTTCCTATCATTTCAAAAATATCATCTTCCCAAACTGGAGTTGTTCCACCTGCTGTTTGAGTTCTAGTTCTGTCTGCTTTCCAAACGATGG